CTTGGCGGCCGCGTTCCTCTGGACCGCATCTCAAACCTGGTTTGCAGGCCCCACTTCAGGTGCTTGGAGGTAGGTGAAGGAAGGCAGGCTCGGGGGAAAAAAGGAACCCCAAAACATAAAGCCTGCACGCATCGGTGCTCACGTAGACAATTAGCCACTGGTGATTGTACCCTTTCTCCACCCCCCACCGCCCCCACTCCAGGTCTGAAAGGCACACACGAACCCTGGCACTTCTTATGGTGGGGTGGGCACCCCAGGAGCCTGCGTGGAGCTCGGAGCCTTGCAAACCTCCGTGTATGTGTGTGCATTTTGGCTGCATTTCGGAGGCTGAAGGAAAATCCCACACAAGATTCCTGCCAGATTTGAGGAAATGCTTAGTTGAATGGGAGCCCTGTTCACTTGGAGTAAGGTAGAATTATAGCCAACTTAAAAAAAGAAGCTTAACATATGACAGCGACTCAGCTGGAACCCTGGAACACATACCGCACGCATCTTTGATCTTCCGCATCACATTAAATAACAAAGACCAGAGGACTTCAGATATGTACCAGATAGACTGTGTTTGATCACAGTAAAAGGCTTCGCCCCATTCCGGACTATGGATTGCATCATTGATTTTTTCTTACCCCCACTCCCTCCAAAGAAGGGACTCTTTTAAGTATGTCTGATTCTTTTAATTAGATCATTACTGCTATTGTAATGTTTACTCCAGTATAATCTCTTATGAATAGCATGGGGCTTTTTAACTGCCGCGGTGACACTGCCCCAGTATCTTTGGGGAAAACACTTAGAAATAGTTAGGTCTGAATAATAAATATGGCTGCTTTCACACGCACACAGGCACACACACACACACACACACACAAATTGTTTGAAATCACTTTTGAAAAATGTCACCATTTCTCACTCCTCAGGAAGTGAGCTAAAGTGAGAGGCGCACACGGTCTACGTGATGCATGTAAATGCGAGCAGCCACGGGGAAACGTGGTGGGGAGCGTCTGTCGGTGTCTGAAACCACAGCAAAGTTTGCATTGCAATACTGTGAGATTTCAAAAGAAAGACCTGATCCTGGTCTGGCAGGCAGAATCACTGAGATGTCTCCTTTTCTCTGCTGCCAAGAGTCTGACTTTCCTTTTCCTTTAGCTGCTCCTTCCCTGACGCTATTCTCCCACCTCTCTGTGATGGCCTTCTTGTGCGTGTGCGTGTGCGTTTGTTATGCACTCTTAACCTCACCTTGAGGAACCTGGGCCTTCTCCGGGTTTGGCAGTGGTCAATGGGCTGCGTGGTGGTATAGCTGGAGTGCTCCGTAAATGTGCAAAGAACATGCTGGGGAGGGCTTCCTGCGTGCTGCGTCCCCGGGCCGTTAAGTGCAACTCAAGACAGTGATTTGTTTGTAAGAGCAGCTGCACGTTTAAAAAAAAAATGGTGGCTGCTGATTTCAAATAAATAACTGTAAAAGGAGGTACATATGTTAAATGACTCCAAGACAATACTTAGTCTCTGTGATCTCTTCTAGTATCTACCTTGATGACGTGAGTAGGGGTGGAAAGCAGGGTTTGTTTGTTTCTGATGAGCAGCGTGGTTTTATTTGGGGCAACTTGGAGCGCTTCGGCTCAGGCAAATGGACAATTATGAAAGAGGCTGTTCTTGGTGTGTTTAAGGTAACTTCCACTGCCCTGCCTCTTAAAGTATGTTAAATAATAAATAACTTATTAAAACATGTTCAATGTAATAATGGCCTTTTTCATGAATTGTTGTAAAAGAGCGATTAGAAGGGAGGGGGTAGCAGCCTTCAGGGGAAAATAACGGGAATTTCTAGCAGTGGAGTTCTGTAATGGTTCTATATTTTTTAAATGTGCCTGTACTCCATTCATAGTCATTTAAGTGCTTAAATAAGCACAATAAATGTAAATAATTTACTGCTTTGCAAACAGAAAATTGGGTAGAAAAGTAATTTTGAATAGTGAGTCGGCTTGCAATCTTCGATGATTTGGGACCCTGTAAAATGCAACTGACACGGCTGTTCATTAAGCTCATTGTTATTGAGCCTTCTTCACTTTCATTAGCGATTAATTCAGACAGATATTTAACTTAATAAGGTAAGCGAATAAACAAAAAATCGCTTTCTGTGCCTTAAGGTTTTTTAGACCCCCTAATTGCTTTTGTGCACTAATTATCAAGATTAACACCTTATACTTTTCTCACTCCGTTTCGCCTTGCAAAAAAAAAAAAAAAATGCCAGCAGGGTATTTTGAAATCTTTTAAGTGGGAGGTGGGAAAGGGTTAAGGATTTTCTTCCCTAAGACAAAATGACCACCCACCAAAACGAGAAGACTCCGGCGAAGTTGTGCGTGGGTTTTTTTAAAACATTAGCTGAGCGGGAAGCCACACACGGCTGTACCAGAGAATAGAGCTTGAATGGGATTCTAAGCCAGGAAACGACGCTGCTGTCACTCGGATAAATCAGACCTTCCGGGAGGAGTTCGTGGGCTGTGTTTCAGCTTCGCTTATCAGGTCTCGGGCTACATTTTTTGAAGTAGCATTCATCGAAGGTTTGCTGTTTGGCCAGTGTATTTAGAAGTTGGTGTGAACTTAAGGTCTGAGGTAGTTATCAACACTTGGCGATTAGTGACAAACCCCTTGCAGGTCCTTTAATATTTACTGTAATAATATTATTCATAATGGAGTCATTCAGTATTCATGTGGATATAATACGTAATTCCATTGTAATTTAGCATTAATTAATGTCCACTTATTGCAGCAGATTATAGTATAGGAAACAATTTCTGATAAGAGACACCAGTGTAATTTAAGGAGGACTCTGATTGTAATTTGAATAATGAGATGCATTGCTTCCTGTTGCCAAGCGTTGGTCCCCACCCCCACCTCCCTGCCCGCCTGTGAACCAGAGGACACAGACCACTCCACACTTGCACACACACACACAATCATGGGGTGTGTGGAACCAAGAGGGTCTTTGTCAAGTGAACATTACAGTGTTTGGAATCCTTTCCTAGATCTTCCTTGCAAATGTTAAAGTTTGTCACTCCCAGATCTTTATTGCCACTGCAATCCCTACCTGAGCGACTGACTCAGTCTGTTTCCCAGAAACAACAAAACAAAACAAAACATTATTATAAGACAGTTATCCTTTAATGTGGAGGCAACTATTTTTCAAGTGACAATTACAAAGGGACTTTAAAAATAAAAGTAAGTGTGCATTCTATTTATCTATGCATCTACCCACTCCCCCATCTCTACCTAATCTTTATGCCTACTGACCTAGCTCACTCAAAACTGACCCTCAAGAGGGGCCACCTTGGAAAGCTAAGCGGTGAAGGTGCTGAAGTTGGACCCGGGGCCGTCTTGAGGGGCTGGCTGACTGCTCTGGCCCTGAAATCACTCTTCAGCTTCGATTGCTAATTGTTACTTGCTGGTCTCCTAAAAAGTCAGGAAGCTCCAGCACCCCTCTGACTTGAACTTGATACCGTATTTCACTCCTTCTTGTCGCATTAGGGGATTTAAGCCCTCCTTTCCCTTTAATTCTTTTCTTTCTTTAATGGGTGACTGGATAAATTCAGCGGTGGATTTTGTGACACTGAAGCAGCAGATAAGTGCATGATGCACTCCCGCTATGTGGGTGAAAAATCCCTCACCATATGTTTCCTCACTGGAATGCCTCGTCTTGCAAAATTACAGGAACCGAAGCTTAAAAACACAATTAGGTAGTTTAAAATGAAGTATTAAAGAAATACTGCATCTATTCCGATGCCTGCCATGTTTTCTTCCTCTCTCCTTTTTTTGGTTTTGTTTTGTTCTTGGAGGATTCAAAAAGCCTCCCCTGTATTTGATTTTTATACTAATCACGCCCCATATTTTTTGGATTATGTTATATAGGCTGTGGTTAAATTATAAATGAAAGGGTGAACTACCAGACTTCTTGTCATAACAGCAGCTTTTATGTTGTTACAGAAAATGCAAAAAAAAAAAAAAAAAAGGTGTTTTGTGTTGAAGGGTCCCCTCGCTTATTTTGCGCTGCTTAATGTATGTGGGCAGACAAGCACAGCAATTTGTAGAAATGTTTTTTGCAGTATTTTGAAAATTACAGCACCCTCTCCATCCTCTGAGGGGAAAATGAAAGAAAACTAAATACACAATGCATAAATATAGCTGGGTCCTAACAGCTCTCTCTGCTTTTCCTGGCTTTATGCATTCCTTCTTACAGAACGTGCTTATACACACGCACTGGGGCACGCACACACAGACACACACGCAGAGCCTACTTCAAGTCCAATTCCTCACTGAGTTATAAGCCGAATCAACTGTTTCACGTAGTAGCAACCTAAAAACCGCCTTCCCCAATTCCCAGTGCCTTCCTCAATTGTTCAAAAAAAAAGAAAAGGCAACCAAAAGGCAACAGGACCAGTCTTGAAAAAAAAAAAGGAACCAGGTGACAGCTTGTAATCTCTGTTTTTGTTTTCCCATTAAACTCATTTCAAATTCGCTAAACATGAAAACCCAGTAAAATATTTTATAGACGCCTTGTATCACACTGCTCAAAGCACTTGACTGAAAGGCTACTTTATGTCCTGATCCTGGTGGGCTGGAGTTTTAAGATAGAATTTATGCTCAGCAAATTGATGAAATATTTCATTTATAGGCTGTGGCATTTTAGGTCTGTTGTAACCACATCACTTAAAGGACTTTGCTATGGTGCAGGCACGAAGAATGATTTTCTGCATTAAATCCACTACCGGGCTGAACCGTTTTAATTTGCCCCCAAACTTCTGCCAACTGGAAGGCGGGTAAGAGGTCAGACAAGCCCAAGGAACCGGATGGATTATCTCTTTGCATGAACTCATTCATTGGGCTCTTTCTAATGGAGGGCGAGATTTCACAGTATCTGCTGGAGTTACTCAGATGCTTTTCATAAAGAGCAGATCCTATGCAAAAATCAATAGCATAGCTTATGCCCTTCATTTGTAGATAAGTGTATTCTT